CCCTATATTAAAACTTTTTTTCTCGACAAGCTGTGTCAGTCTTATATGTCTGACGCATCCAAACAAGATACAACAAGTATTAACCTGTTGTTTTGAACACAGCGTTGAACGCATTGTGTAGGAATCAGTGGTACGTGTAGCATTTACCGAATAACACCTTGTTACTGTGACTATTTCTTTATAAAGAACATAAAATAAATTAATATAAATATAAATAATATTTACAATAATTTGTAAATATCTACAAATAATGGCAAAACGAAAGATTCTAAGTGAAAGTGAATTGAAAGAGATTGCTGATAATAAATGAATGTAATTAATTATATCAAAATAAAAATTATTAAAATGTATTTTTTCAACTGAAACAATATACCATTATATAACTATGTTTATTTTATTTTATTGTTTGTAGTAAGCCAAGAAATTCTCAAGTTTTGTTCCTGATAGGCCAAGCTTTCGAAACATAATGCAAATGTATCGTTTGCGTCGGACATCTGTGATTGACGTGGCCTTCTACCAAATCGCGTACGTCAGACATATATGTCTGACATGGCTCATGTAGAACTTCTTAGAGTCAGACACATATGACTGACATGGCGATTAATGTGTTAATCTTATATAAAAAACCTATCAACTGTATATGTTAAAAATTGCTTAATAAAGTTTTGTAAACCTTTAAAAAATTATGATAATTTAAATCAATTTATCGTTAAGTTTCAAAAAATTATGTCTATAGTTGCTGAACAATTTAGAATCCTACTAAAATTCATTTCTGTCTTTGCTTGCAAAATTTATTTGATAATCATAGCTGGATTCAGCATTTACATTCAGAATAATGCAATTAGTAAAGACTCAGTTTCATCTAATACTTGCATCATTTTTTCGTAAACTTTTCCAACTAAAAATAGATAGTTTCCAGCAATTTTTCTTGAGGATCATTTTGAATATATAAATATGTCATGCACATTTGACAATTTTTATCACAGCTGGCATCTTATGACATTTGTGATTGCACAATATTATGATAAAGTATTTTTATTTAAATAATAATGCAGTTAAATCTTGTTAACACAAATAGTCAAGGTGACAAACAGTTTTTCTAAAAGTAATTTACATTATATATCATGTGATCATTTGTGTGAAATAATAATAATAATAATAGAAATTAGTAAATATATACATAATTTGGTTTACTAGAATTTACTGATGTTATTAGACAAAAGACTGCCTAAGCATTTAGCTACTATTTGAATTCTTCATTTTTTTCATTCACATCCATTTAGATACATTCAAATTGGCTACTTGTGTAAGCAGCATCAATTTTTCTCAATTATTTAATTGTTGATAATGTATAAACAATGCAGAAACTAGATAATAATAATATTAAAGAGACAAGAAACACAAAAAACACCAGCATAAATGAAAAATATTTAATAATAAACAAATGTTTTTGATAACTTTAGCTATCATCATTGAGTTTGAACATGTTTATCCTGATAATTATAGCTAAAGTTATTGAAAATATTGTTTATCATTAAATATTTTTCATTTTTGCTGGATAATGTATTCTTTGCTATTCCATTTATTGCTGTTCCTACTTTTTAAACTTGTTGCTGTACAGTTAATCCAAAATTTATAATCTTTTTCAAACATAAAACTTTGCTTAACCAAAGACTTTGGAAGGGCAATGCTACATAATTTCAAGATAAAGAATCTCAACAGAGTTCTGTAACTTATAAGATAAATGACTGAAAGACAGTATTGCAGTTCTAGTCTGTTATTAATATTTAATCCATTTAAAAATTTTATGTTTTATTAATACTGTATAGAGTAGTCCATTTTAATCAATTCACTGGAATAACTTGAAAAATATGCATCCTACAAAAACTCATTGAACTAAATGTTGGACTTTGAGGAGCCACACGACAACATTATTGGTTTCATTATAGATAGTATTACAAGTTTTCATCATATCATCTATATGATGAAACTGATAACCTCACCTTGTGGCTTCTTTAAAGTCTAACATTTTTTTTCTTTTCAATTTTCCGAAACCATGTTTTATAATTTTCTATGATTCTCAAACACAAGATCATGCTACTATTTAAACACTTGGAATTTTTTCATCTTTATTCAGTTGATTTTTTTCTTTCAATTTATTCCAGTGGATTGAATAAAATAGCCCAACCTGTATTCCAAATTAACTTTAATAAATTTTGTTTATTTAACTATAATTAATTTAGAAGTAAAAAAAAATTAATATTCAGTTTATTTTTGAAAAAATCATTAAAATTATTTTCAAAAGACAATTTTTGTGTGTATCAATTAATGATGTTATGATTGACATAAGATTTCAAAAATTATTCTCAATTTCAACATATTTATACAGTTTTGCTTGTGAAGAATTAGACCTTAATCTTTATTTTATTTCATATATACTTAATTGAAAATACTTGATTTAATTCAGAATGAAAAACTTGATTTTTTTTCATTTCCTATTCATAATTATCATCTTATTTTCATCTTTCTGGATGATATCATAAGGAATGATAGTTCTTGATTCTATGATTAAAATTATTTCATGTCCATTATTTTAATCAAATTATTGCAAACAGAAAAAAGTGCTAATGATGGAGACAGTAATCTTATAAAATTAATTTTTAATTTAAAATTGTTTCAAACTTATTGTTGTAGAAAATCAACAAGAATTCATGCTAACCATCAGTTAAATTTGATCAAATTGTGGCAGTTTCTTTGAACCTATTTAATTTTATTCACAATTCTAAATTCATAAAAGCAGTACTTTTTTTGTCATAGAACGCAATGGAACGGCATTCCACCACGTTTTTTCGATATATTTTAAAAGTTTTAAGAGAATTTTTGAAAATTTGATGTTTGGCCCGCATTGAATTGCTCTGTTGAGCATAGAAGATAGGCAACAAAATTATTAAGATGGTCCTGCTCCTGCTTGTGTGCCGAATCTTGTGTACAATGCATGTAATATATTTTTAGTAATGAGATAAGCGTTCCACCATCTTTTTTTTTTTCCCCTAAAAAAAGCACTGCATAAAAGAAACTGAATTCTCCCAATGTCCCAAGTCTGAATACCCATATTTTACAGGAGATGAATTTTTTTAAAATAATGTTCTTTAGTTATTCTATATCATTGTTAATCACAGTGATTTGTAGACCCACCTGTGATGTTATTAATCAAATTTACATCTTTTTGTGTCATCCTGGTAATGACATATTTGTTATTTTGGGAAGCTGTTGTTCTATGATCAATGAAATAAGACATTCTGACATGTTTTATTTCAAAATATTCTAATAATAATTTACAAACAACATATTACTCTCCATAATCAAAGTAATCTTTATCTATGGAGTCAGACCCAACCAAATTTTGATAAAGGAAACTGTGGATGTAAATTTTATTGAAATTTCATCAAATCATTGAGTTTCTTTGCTTTATAGTTAGATGGCCCATGTAACAATTTTGTGTAGATGCTGTTGGTAGTTAGTCATGTTTTTTTAGTAAAGTAAATGTTTACATTACTCTATCTTATTCTAAGAACTGGTGTTCTCAAAATTCTACAACATAGTGTGACATGCAACAGAGAAAAATTTAAATATGGGATAGGTTAACTAAGCATTTGAATAATCAGCAACTACAACTATCTACTGAATGTAATTAAATGCATTATTTATCATAAATTGATTATGGTAATGAGTTCAAGGTCAGTTAATATACTCATCAGTAATTTTGCTGAACTGACTTTTATGATTCTTTCTAATTAATTAAAGATTAATTTTGATAATTTCTACTTGATAATCTTAAAATTTTTTTTAATATTAACTTTTGAAATAAAATTAATAGCATATAATTTAGTAGATTTTACTATTGGCACACAAATCTTCAGAATTATCTGTTGGGCTATACATTAAGGTTAATTTAATAATTACAGTAGAGTATCGATTATCCAACTCAATTGGGGACTCAGGTTGGTTGGATAACTGAAAAAATCGGATAACCAAAAAGAATGAAAAAAATATATTATTAGTATAGTATATTAGTATATCCCATGTAATTAGTATATTAGTATATCGCTATTAACCAACTTTGCGTTGAATTTTCATCAGTGTTAAGCCTAACAAATCTTTTTTTAAATAATAATCGTCGCTATTGTATCATTAAACTATTTTAAAATTATTTT